GAAACATTAGCCTATATATATATATCTACATCGAAACTGCGAAACGAAGTATAGGGACCCGTCTCTCCGAACACAAGAGTACGCCAGATATGTTGTTGGAATTCAGCACACGCCCTCTAAATATCAACAGCTAGATATAGATTATTTTTAAGGTTTTAACAATTGGCGCCCGTACAGGAATGGAATTTAGACTAGATATTTTTGAAAAAATAGTATGTACGCCACTGCTTTCCCTCAAAATAAAACCAACTTTTATAATCCACATTCATTTTAAGGCAAATTTAATTTCTCCACTCTTTATCTGGGACATTCGATTTTCGTGTAAAAAATAAAGTCGATTTTATGCAGGGTCGAATTATTAGAGCATATCTAATTTTATCAAATTAATATTATTTTTAAAATCTCGAGTTTTTTTTGGAAAGTTGGCCTCTCAATATTTTCCAGCCTACAGCTTTTTCCCAAAAACTAATAATCCTGTACTATAAGGAAATTGAAACATTCAAACCGAAATGAATGAAGAATATTTTGATAAACAATAATATCATCTTGATCAATCATCAATCAAATCCCCGTAGAGAAATGTTGAATTAGGAACTTTATTAATAATTTCATTTCGATTCAGATCAATTGAGTCAACATCTCAAGGAAATGACACCTTCCATCGACCGTTCTTTGAACAACCGTTCTGAATATTTTAAAAATCAGTTGTTCATATTTGTATTTCGATTCTGTTAACGAAGTTTGGCAAACAAATACGAAGCGAAATACTTCGAATACAGAACTCCGAAGAAATGGTCTTCCTGCTGAACGTGATTTTGTTCTGTTACTTTGCGGTTTGTTTGGGAAAAGATGATACTACGATGGTGGACAAAAGAAACGTTTTTCTGAGCCGGAGGAAAAGGTATTTGATCTTTCCGGCAGGCAGTAATTTTGTGGTGAGTATTAAAATCAATGTTTTTTTTGAGGAGAGGCATAAGCAAAGCATAGAAAATCCTTGAGTTGCTTACAGCTGCGACTCTGTTTTTCAACAACGTACGGACAATAAGGAGTATTATTTTGAAGTTATGCGCCGGTTGCGAGAAGCAATACGAAGAAAACGTCATGCTTTTGCATCATGATAATGCACCTACTCACGTTATTGCTTGTTCGTAATTTTTTGGTCAAAAACAACATCGTAATCATGCCTCAGCCATCGTATTCATCAGATTTGCCCCCCTGTGACTTTTTCTGTTCCCAAGATTAAAGAACCCCTCAAAAGGACGGCGTTTTTCGACGATTGATGAAAATCGAATCGCTGAGAAAGCTCAAGGACATACCAAAAAGTGCACATCAGAACAGCATCGAAGATTGGAAGAAAACGCTGGCTCAAGTGTATTATTTCTGATGGGGACTACTTTGAAGTGTGCAAAATAGAAATTGATGAATATATAAACAGTTTTTTCAACAGACGGCGTGGCGTACAACACAATTTTTCATTCATGTCAGTAGCATCCATGTTATATCTGTATTTCACGATCATATCATGTTTTTCGATTTTTTCCGTTTGATGAACGGTTTCATGAAAAATTTAACTCATTCATTGGTATGTTGTTATAAAAGAGTGGTTGGAGGAATAAAAAGCTAATTAGCTTCTTTCCTAGAAAAATTCCGGATGCACAAACATTTTTTAACATTCCTAGAATATTGGGCGAACAGTATATTTTTGAAGCAGTCAATCTTCTGAAAGCAGTACAACTTACAGTAAGAACATAGGAATTTGGAATAGAGGTATTGAACTCTGTTTAAAATCTGTTTTCCGTTAACCAGCTGTCGCACCCCTACGCCACCCTCAGAAGTCGAAACTTGTGCGAGCTAAGGATTAACAAGGTCTTACCTTTTAACGTGTGATTCCTAACACGGGTTGGACGATAGCAAGTGAAGATCGATCGTTCAGAATAGGGCTTGAACCACCGACCAACACGGCAGTCAATTCGAGTGAGTGAACAAAGCACCTACGCCGAACCGCTTGACTACCGACCAACCTTTCAGTGAGAAAGATCGCGAATTAAGTAAACAAACAATTGGTAGCTACTTGAATACCTCTTATATTCTTAGGAAAATTCTATACGACTTTGAAATAACGCTACCCACTACACACTTGTTTTGTTGCGCTAATAGGTAAGGCCACCTAAGTTGCCAGACCTCAATAGTTTAGATGATTTTTTGTGGTATCTTTTACAAGACACTACAGTGTCTTGAAACATTAGCCTACAGTACATCAATTTATACTTGAGAGCTGTTGAGAAATAGAATTGTTATTACTTGAGTTCATAAAAAAAAGACAAGTGACATGTATCTTTGCAGGATGTGCACCTTTTCAACATCTGATTTGATTTCCATCTTTGTGCGTTCAAAATTCCAAGACGTATTTCATAATTTTACTGCTTAACATTTTATTCAGTTGTATTTCATTTATTCTTCCATACATTTCGAAACTGCCAACACTGTGTTAGACAGTGGAACTTCGAACATGTAATACATTAAATTATTATAATGATTGTTAAAAATCGAAAAACTGTTTTCAGCGACATGCGATCTCAGAGCCACCTACTGCTCTGCGATCGAAACTGACTCGACATTTTAGACGATACCAAAGCCCAACAGTGTTGCAACCGTGCCAATACTAGACAGCGCAGTTTTGATCTACCATATACCTCATCAGTGGTACTAGACCCCGGGTCATAAATGGAATGTCAAAACTTTTCTTTTCTCAAGTGAATTAATCCTGAGTAACAGATGGTGATGACAATGTTTCCATTCAAATACACCATCAATGGTCGTAATTCAGCCTTCCATTGCAATGCCAACCATGGACAATTGTCGAATGAGAAACCGCTTTCTGCTTCTCTCTGCAGCCTTCACTTCAAACGGACAACTAGATTATTTCAGGGTCCAAAAGCACTAAGCACTTTTCGATTTCTAATTTTTGCTTAGCAATGAAACGCCGGTGAAACCCTCGTTTTTCTCTGATGAGTGGAAAATATAGTATAGAGAAAATGAGTTTTGTCTAATTTCTACTAAAATTTTTATTTGTTACGAATGGTTTCGGTTTATTAAACCATTCTTAAATAAACTGACGCAGTTTGACCAAACCGATCGAAATAGGTCGTAACAAATAAAAATCTTTGAGGAAATAAATAGACAAAAGTTATTTTCTCTGTCCTATATTCAATATGAATTTCCACAAAATAATAATAGTTATGCTATCGGCCAATTTCATCACAAATCTGATTGAATTTTTAAAAGTACCTACGTTATATTTCAGCTCCAACTAGCAGCTGTAAAAGCTTTTCTGCGCGTCCAACCAACAGGATGGAACACGGTCGAAGAATTGGACTATCCATTTGCCCTTCCAACTGATACAAGAATTTTCCGAAAGTCCAATTGGATCAATAGAAGCAGACGAGAAATTTATTCCACGGTCGATAAAGGTCTAACTAAGTATGTACAAGAAAATGACATCTATTCATAATTCCTTGTCTGTCTCAGAAGCTCGATTTAATCACAAAAAAAAAGGATAAAATACATACAAAGTTTATAACGATTTGATGCTAATTATTGAAAGGTAACAAATCATTCATAGAAAGTTATACTCATTTAGAAAATAGACAATTAGATATTATTTTTATTCAATTGAAATCAGTGGCTCTGATAAAACCTGATGATATGCACTCATTTCCACAACTGTATTTTTTTCAATAATATACAGAGATATAGGTACTAGTGTCATTATCAAAAACTACAGTTATATTTCAGTCAACAATCTCCATTTGAATGTTGAATTCAGTACTTTTCCTAACCTCATATACGTGACAAATGACAGTGAATATTCGAATTTCCCAAAGATCCTTAATTTTTTTGCTTCTTCAAAATATCAGTTATTCCCCAACAATTAGCATAGCTGTGTTTGAATAGATTTCTATGAAAGTTTTGTTCCGTGATAAAAACAAAACTTCAGTTGTCATTTCAAAATGTCAATGTTGTCATTCGATATGTGTTCTGTTTCCGTTGTTTATCTGATTGAATATTTATATGCTTTTCGTTATCTTGAAAAATCCACTTCAGATTTGTTGAACGATAATGTCGTAAAACACACTTTCCGTGTAATAAAATGAAATTCCGTTATACATTTGAATCAATATTTAATCTATTCCATAGATTCCTCTAGAAAGTTACTACGTCTCAAGTAGTATCTGTCCAGAGTACAGGTACAGGTTCAATTTTTGACACAAAACGTAATAGATTGTGCTTCGGCGTAACAGTGTAATAATATTGTATTATTACGAAAATATTGAAAGTGGCATCCCTGCAAGTGAATAATAAAAAAAAAGTGAGCGTTCGCAATGAGGTTGTGTCACAAATGAGAAGAAAATGACAAGTGGGCACTGGGCACTATTTTTCCTCTAGTTTAGGTATTCAATCTGTGGTTTAGGCATTATTGAAAAATCCTGAATAACAACACTGGTCGGTCTTTAGGAGAGCGATGAAAAAATGTTATCGGTTAGCTCAGAGATCAACGTTAGGATCTCATTAGTTGTTTTAGTTGTCACCTGTCATATTGAAAAAATTCAATGACATAATAATGCCACAGTTATCTGTTCACTATTACGAAATATAGTCAGGGTTGGCCATTTTCTCATTGAATATTGAGTGAGGATTCGCAAAGATATACCTATGCACGACAATAGGGAAAACGCATGTATTTTGCTTAAATTGAAAGGGGTATATTTGTAGAAAATATCAGTTTTTGCAAAAAAAGCTTTGTGTCTTTCTACTTCTCCACCTTTATACAAAAATGTGTCTTTTTTCCAGTTTGCAATTAAAAGTATAAAAATGCGATTGCAGTTTAGTAAACTTTTCAGTGAAAATCTCACAATGAGGTGTTCCTTCGCATGAATTTTGTAACTTTCAAAGTGATATTGAACTTTTGTTTATTCTAGGGTTGGGTTCAACGGTACTGCTTGTGTGAAGAAGATGATTTGTGACGCTAAAAAATACATTCCATTGAGAGGAAAGTCAATGATAAAAGATATACTTCTAGCAGTATTCAGGTAAGTTTTACAAAGAATGGAAAACTTATTGTCAGATTTCAAATATTTGTAATCAATGACTAACCAATTTTTTAATCACTCTTCAGTAGCTTCTGTTGGTTTCAGCTATACTGGCGATGAATACAGTCATGAAGAAATCTGCGATTCTCAATTGGATACGGAATGTTCAATCTCGATAATGGACTATGTTCTTCATGGTCTAGATTTCAATTCGTTGTGAAAAAATAAAATGAAGAGAATGAATGTTTTGTTGATTTTATTTTATTTAATTTTATTCATGTATTTGGAAACCTAACAAGAAGATTAACTTCTAATATTCAATATGATGTCATCTTTTTTTTTTGAAAAAGTCAGTTTTCTTATTCAGTATATAAAGTATTCAATGATAACCTGAAATACATGGTATCTCAAAGAAATAACATATTTCTGAGTACCTACCTAATTCTTTCAGTCCGAAATTTATGAAGAACCCTAATAAGTATCTGAGTGTTTAAAAATGATCAAGATCAGTTGGAAAACTTCATAAATGTAACAGAAACCAAAGTTTTTTTATTTGGTAGAATCGGCCGAGACTTCCATCCAATCAAAGAAGCTCACTACGAAATTTTACTGAGTATATTCTCCTGAAGAAAACGTTTATGTAAATTCTGCCTATTAAAAAATGAAAGATATAAGAAGGTAGCTCATTTTTTGAAATATTTCAGTCTGACTTTCTGAAATCATATTCTTCTTCCTCCATTTTTACAATCTTACTGTAACAGTACAGTAACCCAATGATTGTTAGTACTCATACAGTCTAGACAGGTACAGACCTATTCACTCACGAAAGGATCACTATATGTCTGAGAATCTTGATATAACATTCTTCTAAAGAGATGGTGAATACTCAAAAAAAGCGAATGCTGATAGTATTCTTGCTACTCCGATAGATTTACTGGATAATTATAGAAAGACATATCAATAACAAATTAGAACTTTTAAGGAATCGCACATTGAAAAGTAAGACCTTGTTAATCCCAGACAAACTGAATATATTGAGTGTGTTTATCATAAATCATATAAGGATGAGTGAACTGGAATGGTGTCATACTGGGTGCAAGAGATGAATAGTGTTTTTGGTTTTCCGTGTGTATGCCGCAAAATAACCTGAAAGGCGACATCCGCTGGTGAAATGTTTTGAATTATTGAAAAAACATTTTGAGAGAACAAATAGGAAAAAAGAGTCGTGCTATAACAGTATTGATTGATGAAAACCACATAGATCAGTCTTGCAGTGGTACAAAATCCTAAATTGAGTATTGGTGTTAGTGAAATAAGCGTATTAGTAAAATAAGCATTGATTTAGGGATATCAAAATCTTCAATTTCCATAAGTTTGAAAAATAAATTTCACACTTACCACCTGCAGCCTGCAGCTACACCAGTTTTTTTTCGTAAGATGCAAAATAAAATTACGGAAAATGAAAGACTCCGGAGGATCTGATTAAAAGACGAAAGTACCGTTCCATACATGCATAGCTACCGATGTTATAATACCAAATATCCACATATTTTAACGATCACGAATCATCAACATACATGGACTCTCAATGTATTGGGCGGTATCGTAGATAATTATGATTGACCATATTTTTTTCGAACGCAAATTGAATGAACAAGAAATCCTTCGATTCCTCGAAGAATACTTTCCTAGGTTGATCGAGCACCTACCTAATCACATCATAGATGAAATATGTCTTCAGTGCACCAGCACTTTTTTGGGTGTAGCATAAGAAGAGTTGGATGTAACATTTCCTGATAAGAGAACTGGACAAGAAAGGCCTACTCCTTGGCCGCCAAGGTTGCCGGACCTAATATCAAGTGATTTTTGTTTATGTAGAACAGAAAATCGGAGTTTTACCATACTGTCGCTACTACATAGTAGAATTCTAAATTAAGAATTCGTGAGGCATTAGAACGAAGAACTATGCGGTTTTACCGTCAAAACAAACTTTTTGAATGAAGATATCAAGAAAATGTACATAACAAGGTGGAAAACATTTTGAAAACGTATTTAAGGCGTAATTACAATTTTTTTGTTCAAAATTTAAAATGTATTTGTTTCTGTTTTTTTTTAATATTTTGAAAAACGCAAATAATTAAAGGACGGCTATAGGAATAACATATAACACGTTGATATTCCTGGATATGTAATTTTATGTAGAACGTGAAGACAGATAATATTGGTGGTATTCCATTTGGAAAAATCTCATAAACTTCAACTGAAGTTGACGAAAATCGAATTGACATTTCTACCACCTTGTATAAATATAACTGTTCCTCAGGACATTACAGAATAAAACAGCTTAATTACAGTTATTTCATTCAGAGCCGGCTTCACTTCCGAGTTTTACAAAAAAATCAGTAACTGGAAACGACGCATTGTGACTGAAAATAAATTCAGTCTTGGGTAGGAAACTATGGGACAATTTTATTAACTGAATAATAAAATGGTTCCACTTAAAAAAGTAGATTGTTTACTCACGCTAAAAAATACACAACACGCTGTACATATGAAACTAGTTTCATGAAACAATTCTGATATTTCCATATATCTGACAATACAATTTATGTTTTCAAGTAATACTAGGTGTTATTAATATAACCGACTTTATAATATCTCTTACGGTTTCCGATTTTCTGAGCACATATCTTGGACACATTATATATTATAATTTATAGGTAATTAGCGTTTTAATACATGGATGCATTGTATAATCATGTCACAGACATCTATATTTCAGTGAAAGCTGAAAAATTATAAAGTCATATTTGATTGTTTTCCTAGAACGACCTTGGAGAATACCGGATAAAATGTTGTCATTTCTTGATAAATTAGAAATTAATGCAATTCGATCCATGGCTACTTCTCTAAAAGGAGTGATTCCGTTCAAAATCAATGGGTCGTTTTACCTACTTTCTGTTTTATTTCCTACCTACCAGGCATGAAATCATTCAAACTGAAAGGTTCTGTAGGTTTGATGCTATTTCGTTTGACAATTATTGACGACAATATCATAAAAAATACATCCGAAAATATCCAAATCGTGTTTGAATCTAGTTCACGGTTTTTTATCGTGAAAGAAGTAGGCATTATGTCATCGATGCAGCAAATTCATTTGCAATCTTGGCATATAATATCCCACGTTATACAAGTGTCACTTGTAAATGCACATGAATATGTGCATTTTTGTTCTTTGTAAAACACGCTGTTTCTGATGTGAAACAAAAATCCGCACATCCGCAATACATTGATTTCGATTTTATCTTTGGTCACAAAATTTACTGAAAGAGGCGTATACAACTTTCATAATTTTTTCAAAACATTTGGACACTAAATCACAATCCGGTACTTATCATTTTTGATGCTATCTCAATTAAAATTGTATCAAACACATCACCACTGAAGCTAGTCCGTGAATAACCGTTCTGGTTTCAATTTGCTGTTGCATTTTTAGCTCAATTATAATATCAGTAATTGATTCTCAAAATATAGGGATTGCAAGTTGAGAAGTGAGACCTCGTTAATCCTTACTCGCACAAGTTTCGACTTTTGAGGGTTATAGTTTTTAGGGCTGATTAAATGAAAAACAGATTTTTTTTAGATGATCTTTAGACAGGATATACGAGGTCTGTTAAAAAAATAATGTGGATTGTATTTTTTTTGTGCCAGCGTTTTTTTCAAACCTCGAAGCAGTTCTGATATACACTTTTTGGTATGTCCTTGAGCTCTCTCAACTATTCATCTTTTATCTCCTCAGTCGGCGCAAAACGTCCTCCTTTCATGAAACTCTCCAGTTTTGGGAACAGGAAAAAGTCTCAGGGGGGCAAGTCTGGCGAATACGGTGGTTGAGGCACGAATACGGTATTGTTTTTGGTCAAGAAATTACTAACGAGCAGTGACTAGTGAGCAGAGGCATTATCGTTATGCAAAAGCCACAATATCAGACGTATTCTTCTTAATTGCTACTCGCAAGCGACGCATAACTTGAAGATAATACTCCTTACTGACAGTACGAATATGTGGCAAGAACTCCTGATGCACTACGCCACGATAGTTGAAGAAAACAGTGATCTATTTTTAGGAGAAATTAATTTTTGGGAAATAGTTTCGGCTCACACTTCTCTATCTTTATCCTAGATACTTTTGCAAGAAAAAGTAAGAGAAACATTTTTGTATGGAATTATATTATTAAAAAAAAAGACCAATAACCTTTTATCGATAGTACCGAAGATATTGAAAAAAAAAATGACATTTTGACATTGTTTCGAAAAATGACCATTGATATTTTCCGATTACGGAGAGGGAGCCTGAAAATCAGCTACCAAGCCCAAGGAAGGCAGCAGGCGCGCAAAGGAGGGTTACAAATAGGCAGCAAGCGCGGGTGTTAATACAAAAAATACATGTAAAGTGAGTTCGAATTATATCAAGGAGGTTACGCACAGCGCCATCTGCCCGCGAATAGATCAAGCCATAATGTCGATATATCAAGGAGGTTATGTACAGCGCCATCTGCCCGCGAATAGATCAAGCAATAATGTAGATAATTCTGTCAGTACAGATCCCGAGCTTGAGACTTACAAATAAACAAACATACATACATACAGGTGAAGCTAATAAAAGTGTGTTGAAAACAGTTCAGCCCGAATTTGGTGAAACTTTTCACAGGATTTGTATCTATTGTGATATAAAGTTCTGTTGAAAAATGCAGCAGAATAAAATATCAGCTGTAATAACTTCAAGTACTTCGATATGACGGGGTTATATGTATACATTTAAGTATTCTGTCAAACTCAAATGATTTGTTATTGTGCAGGAAGATACAATCTGGTGAATACTGAAGTAAGAAATGTATTCAATAAGATACCTTTTTGAGAAAATTTTAGAGTTTAGTCCTAACACCAAACCGTTATTTATATATAACGGTTTGTTGTTGGGACTAAACTCCAGTAATATTCATTACTACACCAAAGGTTCCAACCAGTGCAACACAAGTACATTTTGACAATATGGTTATTAATTTGAATTCACAATATCAACTGGTCGCTGTGAAGGTAAAAGAATATCATAGACCGCTTGGAATTAATCATAACTCAAAAAGTAGCAATTCTTTAAATGTTTTATTCTTATGTAATGTTGGAAATACATTATTTTATAAAGTTTGCAATTTATTGTTGTATAAACGACAAAAGGGTATAGAAAATGAACCTCAGAAAAGTAAGTTTCAAAAAATTTGAATTCAATTGAATGACTATTTCAACAAAGTTGAAAAAATGAATGAGTCAAACTATATTACTATGCATTTTGCTGCATTAGGATGACAGAGAATATATAAAAGGTCTGAGTGTTGAATAAGTAAACTGTTTTCTGGATATAATTAATATATTCCTACTGGTGTAAACGCAGACAATACTTGAATAAAAAAAATAAAACAATACGTTTCAAAATCTTCTTCGACGTCCGTATGGGTCTTTGAAGAATCTTTCATTTTTACATAGAATCAGTACACTTCAGTCACAACATGTAATGCTTACTTGAAATTAAATCCCATTATCTTTACCGGAATTTTTTGTGGAAACCTACAGAATCAAGATTCTACATAATTTTGCAAATAATAGCAAATTTTCCAAATTTTGCTCACATCGTTTGTGTAAAAAGACGCTTTGGAAAGGATATTTTTGAAAATTCCGTTTTTCTTAACTTCCTTCAATAATTTCCAACTGTGTGCACTGAACTCTTTTTCTTCGTTAGGACTAACAGACCATTGGAAAATTCCCAAATCGGAGAATCGGTCAGTATCTAGTGACTTAACGGTAAAGCCCTCCTGTATAAGCAATTGTATTTCTGATTTTTGAATGATTTCCCTCTCGTCCGTCAAGTGAGGGTGCAAATCAGAAACATAAATTACGTAGCCGTACGGAGACACACCTAAAAAATATTTCAACTTAAATTCATTACACAAGTCCACTACGAAAAACTTCACAATGATAACACCGCTCGGACAGATCTTTCTGTTAAATGAAGAATCGCTGAGAATGTTTTGCCAATGCATTACACACCGCCGAACTTCATCACATTGCAAGTCATATCTGAAAGCAAGATCCTGCATTTGCAGCCCGAGTCGCAGCCAAATCAGAGTTATCTTTATTTCCTTACGAATTTTGATAGTGTCACAAGTAAGAAGTTCTAAAGATGGATCCATTTCTATGACCATATCACAGAACTTCTTGAAATCCACTTTGTTCTTGAAACCAGTATAAAACTTGACTTCGTCATCACTGCTGAAGCTGTCAAACTTATGATACCACTGCTGTTGAAGAGAATTCACTTTTTCATGCATATTGGCAAGCTGCATTTCAAGTCTAGCTATTTCTCCACCCGTATTGAGACAAGGCGTGCCACAAGGTTCGTTGCGGGTTACTTGTTGTTTAGCAGCCTCCAAAGCACTTTTCAATTTACTGTTTTCTTCTTCTAGCTGCTGTTTCACTCTTTCGCTCTCTCTTTCCTTACTTGATAAATTCATAACCAATATTTGGCCTTCCGATATCCTACGATAGGCAACGGATAAACTCTCTTCAAGTTCTTTCATTTGGTTCTTAAGCTGTTGCAGGTCTCTACTGCAACTACCGGTTTGTGTGGTATTTTCTTTTTTATTCATGTGAGGGGGTGCACTGAAGTTGTTTTTCCACTGGCAGGAAGGGTTATAGTAGGGATCTGAAATCGAAAGAAAATATTCCTTAAACATGGGTAATTGAAAAGCACTCTCAAAACTTTCGAATTCCTAAGTTCGAAATTTCAGAGTGAAAGATAGGTTCATTTCTTTATCGTGTTTTCGCGAATGTGGCAGATGTTTGAAGTTTCATCATAATACAGTGTGACCACATTCAAAATGAAGATAACCCTATGTTTTTGTTATTCAAAGGAATACATGAAATTGTGCAAGGTTATGTAGATTGTAGGGTCACATTTTCACGATTTTTCTTTATTTATTCACGGGATTCATCTCCAGTATATATATATGCTGCATTCATTTTTCTATTATGGAAACCGTTTCTCTGTTCTTTTATGTGTGTTTTAAATGTTCTTCCAGTTTGACCTACATGAAACATCGGACATGAACCATGAGATAATTTATACACTCCTGATCTAGCATAAAAGAACATAGAAACAGTTGCCAGAGTATAAAAATGAATTCAACGTATATTACTCACCTTCTAAGAATTCCCCAATATAGAAAAAAATGTATTAAACAAAATATTTATTATGAAAAATGGGAATTGAAACTTCCTGTGTTTTTATACCACTTTCATATATATGTGGATAAATATACGAGGGTGGTACCAGAAGTGCCATCAACAAACAACAAAAAAACACATTTCAGAAATAAAATTATTTATTTTCCAACACCTTACGCAACTGTATGCAGAAGTAGCAGCCATCGGTCACTGTATAGGGGAAATAAACAGACAGAAGGTCACAAATAAAACCACTGCTATTTTCTCCGACAGACAGACGGCAAATAAAGCGCTCAGTTCATTTCAATTCTTCTCAAGACTGATTGGCCCTGAACCCTTCTGCGGGGTAGCGAAAGCATGTATAAAGACATGTATAAACTCATGGATGCAAGCCGAATCAATAGATTGGTGGAATAAGCTCCCAGAAATGAGGAAAACATAGCCCAGATTCACGAAAGACCTTCTAAACCACAACCATAAGGTTATAAGGGTAGTGGTGGGTATACTAACAGGGCATAACCAGCTCAGGAAACATATGATCAACATGGGTCTGACAAAAGAAACCCAATGCAGGTTCTGTCAAGAAGAGGAAGAAACCGCACTGCATGTGTACTGTGAATGCCAAGCGATAGCATGGCTGAGACACACAACATGCAGGGAAGAAAAACCAGAGGCTGCCAGCTATATGAAACTACAAAATCTCCTTGCAGCTCTATACACTTTTCCCAGCGACATTCAATAAGTTCGATGCCGTTTTAGTAATAAGAATTGTTTGTTCCTCAAAATAGCCACTGCCAACATCACTTCTTCATCGTTGGACCATCTTTGACCACTGAGGTTTTCTTCAAGTTTGAAAACAGAAAATAATCCGAGGGGGCTAAATCTGGCGAATATGGTGCATTTATTGATTTTTTCATTTTTTTATTTTATTCCATTATACACGGGTTTTCCCATTTTTACATATGAAATATAATACAGATACATACTTATGACAGTACTATAGTAATAGACGGACACTTATACTAAACTAATAATCTTTTTAAGCTGGTTTTGAATGAATTTGATGTTCGTCCAGTAAATTCTAAACCTCTATCGCAATATTCATTACCTAATCAAACAAAACGTGACAAAGTACTATGATAACCATAATTTGTGAAATAGTAGGGAATATCGAATAATTCAGAATTTCGAGTAGGTCTGTTTGGAACTTCAAATAAATCGAATAGAGCAATGAAGGACAATCTATCTCTCCTGATAGTAACAATCAGTCAACAATCGTTCAGTACCTCTTTGTGGATTTTCTTCACCGTTTCTGGAGTTGTCATCTTATTTGGTCAACCATGCTCGTCTTGGCAGCTCGTACGGCCTCATTTAAACTCGGCTACCCAATATTTTACTGTTGTAAACAAAAGAGCAGACTCACCCAGAGTAGAATCCAGTTAAGCTTTTATATTGTTTGGACTGAGTCCTTTCAAATACAAATATTGTAGCACATAACGATAACCAGCGTCTTCAAATTTATGCTTTATAGATCGTGTACTTTCTAATACAGTGATATTTTTCAAACAACTACCGCCATCTCTTGGTCAGGCCTGGTACTTTTGGGACCATCCTCATATATATGGATGAATCTAATATATAAAAATGGATGTTTATTGGTTGGTTGGTAAGTGATAAACTTCTACATCGCTCAACCGATCGTGATGAAACTTGACATGTATGAGTAATTTTTCATAGAGAAGGTTTTTAGGCTATCAATTTTTCTGTAACTCACCACTAGATGGCGCTGCAGAACAATTTTTTGAAAGCACTGTTTTATAACGCTGCGCACGCCTAAGTTCGTTGATTCTGATTCTGTCAAAACATTAGAACAGCAGCGATACAGCAACATAGTACTAGTATGGTATAAAAACATAGGAAGTTTTATTTCTCATTTTTCATGATAGATCTCCTACCAAGTAGTAAGGACTACATCTATCAATCTATTAAATATTTATTCCTTTAATAATGTGATAAGCCTAGTTCAGTGGACACAATTTCTCAACACTAACAGTGGTAAAATAATTATGAGAACAAAGCAAGAAAGAATCCATGTAAAAATTGGTGTAAACGTTTCCAATGTGTGTTAAGAATGTATATGTTTCAAGCATAATTTCCTTGCAACCCTGGAAGACTATGGATTAGTCTTGGGTTTGAGGCATTGAAATAGTATGTCATAAAATGTAATAATAGAATATATCAGAAATACAAAATCATGTAGCTGACTTACCATTCATTCCCTTGTCTTCTTTTTGAAGACTGAATGGATCTTTTTGATGGGTGTATCCATTCACAGCAACAGTTTTTTCTGAAAGATTGGTTAACATAGCTTGATAATTGACCTCAGAAAAAAACGTAAATATTTGTTTTAACGGCTCATGCTGGTTTTTGGAAAATTTCTCATTAGACTTTCACATTTTTGTCATATGATCATGTATTTTGTTGAGGTTTTAACAACCAGTCTCTGGTTCAAATGTACTACATATCTACATGACTACCATCATTGCCAACATAATACATTGGACTGACTATTCATAAATTTAGCATGTGCACTGTCAACAAACTGAGTTTATTTACCTTGTAGAATAGAAAATTTCGAGGAAATACCTGTTATGATGGTAGGAATGCATTCTTTTTCAAACCATATTATTTTGACATTTGTATTGAAATGCCGAATATTCAAGAAAAAACGAAAATGCATTTGCCTTAGGAAATGTAATTTTACTTTTCCCTAAATGAAACCAGAAATTTTTTTATCGATTATAAACCTAGTTTGTCCCTTTTCTTGATCGGTTCTACTGAAGGGGAAAATCCTCAATCCTCCCAAATATTTTCTTCTAATTTCATCCAACACATGCCTTTCTCTTATCAAGTCTAGCAGGTAGAAATAGTTTTTTTCATTCCAGATGTCTCGTTTTTTGAGCATTCATTTTAAAAAAAATTCACTTTCTGACACTGAAAAATGTTTATGTCATTGAATCATCAAAGTAGATATTTATACGACTCAATAAATTTTATAAACCCAATCCTCTTTCCAAAAGGTTGTTAGAAATCCTTCTTTAGAATGCCTTGTAAGAGTGGTCATGTTCTGAATGATATTGTTACTCAACTAGAGTTTTTGTTATTATTTGTTGGAATACCACAAAGAGTTGAAGTCACTTGGCTTTAGCCAGAAAATAAATGCAACTTATCAATTCAACCTTCTCATGAATTAAACACTCCACAAACTAGAGTTTGTAATCTATTACAGAAGGCACATTCTAAATGATAAAAAACAATATGGCGTTCCTTATTTTGACTACAAATAGATGTATTCTATGACTTTCAAGTGGTGGTACCTCCAAAAGTAAGACTGAGAACCCAGTTTTGACTACAGATACCTTATTATGAAACAAGAATACGTAAGTCTGATAAAAAAAATTTCTAAAACTATAGCGAGCTGTTGAAACATATAGTTACCAAACAGACTTTTACAACTTTAAATAATGCATATCAGTACCTGTGACCTGTTGTACTCTATTTTCGAACATACTGTCAGAGAATTGTTGATCTTCTGATTCAAAATCTAATCTTTCTTCTTTGATCGTCGTCTCTTCGAAATTTGAGTGTGCTGTTTCTCCAGAAGAAACACTAGTAATCACCGGAACAGTATTATATATATTACTGTAATCCACAATACAGTTTTCTCCGTCTTCATTCCATGGTTCCTCATCTACATCTATCTCCTCTTTGATTTTTATAGTCTCTGTTTCTTGTGTATCAGTATTATTTATGACTGGTTCAATGACTATTGCAGGGGTGTATATTTTTTCACCAAAATACCGCGGTAATACTTCATTGTGAATATTTTTACCACTGTTATTGAAGTGCATTCCGCATAGCTTCGACTTCTTAGTAGGATACCATGTCTTCGATTTCTTCTGCTTCCTCACTCTCTCTATCCATATATTTCTGAGTTCAGGATCAGTTGGAAACTCATAAAAGTCAACCTCCACGAATCCTTTATCTGTTGCTATGAATTCTTCACAATTAAGGACACAGCCTTTGTTTTGTTTGAGGAAAGACATGTCTAGATTTCAGAAAAGTCTCATCTTCTGCAATACAAACTTGTGTAGGAATGGGATATTATACTGAACCCATTATAAACCCATGTTCTTTGTTCGATGATTATATGTGAAAATGTTTAAGTAAAAGTCCAAGTTATGAAAATTGAAAACAAGCAATAAGTTAACCTCAATTTCAGCTTCTAATACTCAATTAGTTATACCATATCTGTTTTTTATGTTATTTGCAGGGTTGCCACTAGATATCATAAGTTGTAGGTTCTGTACTAGATATTTTATTTTCGTGTTAATATTTATACAATCTAGTAATAAATTTCTTTGATTTCGTAACATTTGCATATACGTACATTTCATATATCAAAGTAACATTTTCAGAAGCCTGTATAATTGTTATAAATTCGCAGACTAAAACCCAAGTCACGCCTAGACGATCTTTAGCCTAAATTTCATAAACAATGCAATGAAAGTTTGACATGAGCTATCAAAATATGCTTGAAAAGTTCTCGAAAACGATATACACTGGCAAAATAATCAGAATAATGAAGTGATGAAAAAGTAATAGATCATGCTTAGGCATAACAACCTAATGAAAATATTCAATAGTAATAGATTGAATATTACTGGAGTTCTATCTCAACAACAAATCGTTATTTTTAACACCCCGACACGTGTTTCAATTGTTATGAGAACTATGTCAACGAACATACCTAGGTTGACGAACAACGGAGAGACCGAGGTTGACAACATGACAGCAGACTAGTAGCACAGATTGTGCTAGTAGTAGTAGTATGTGGTATTAGGATGATGTATCTTCTTTAATAATATTAAAGTAGTTTATTTAAATACATTGTTGTATGGTTAATACCAAGAATATAACAATAATCACCAAGTGATCATCTTCACGGGGAATATTGAACTAAATCTACATACATACATCTACGTAGATTTAGTTTAATCTCCCTCGTGGAGATGATCACTTGGTGATTGAAACACCTGCCGAGGTGTAAAAAATAACGGTTTGGTGATGGGATAGAACTACAGTAATATTCATTGCTACACCAAAGGTTCCAAACAGTGCATCACAAGTAGTAATAGATTTGTGATGCACTGTTTGGAACTTCTGGTGTTGTAATGAATATTACTGGAGTTTTTTCCCAACACTAAACCGTTATTTTAACACCTCGACACGTGTTTCGATCACCAAGTAATCATCAAGAGGAAGATTGAACTGATCAGTATGATCTTCCTGATATGAATGAATGAATGAGGTAAAATTTCACTTACGCGGAACACAGTCATCCTAATTGGTGGACATGTTTCAGAATAAGTCACTTGCCTCATTGCCTGTTCAGTACTAATGTGAAGACTCCCTCATACTTCGTTTTGTATCAAGATGGAGTAGTAGAAAGCCAAAAACTTTCTTTCCAAAAAAAAAGATGAAGTACTTAAATAATTCATAAAATTACAACCTTATGGCACGAATGTCTTCATGTCATTGATGCCAGTACGGAATGGCATTCATACGCTCATATAATTAAATCCCAGCCACAAGAATCTTGCTTAATTTGAAATTGTATATTTTCAGGAGAGAATGTATCAATTATTCAATTTGAAAAAGATTGTTTTCACTGCAAATTTAGTGAGAGAATAATAGTTTTATGAAAGACATATCTTTATCAGTTGGTCAGTTATTTGCCTCCAAGCGATCACTTCTATGTTAGATGCAGGTGCCACCACCACTATAGTACCCCAAGTTAAGCAAGCTTTTGGCAAGTTATTTATCTAAGTGAGTTATTTAATATATTCAGTGCGTGTTGACTCATCCATTCTAGAAATCAAACCTTGACACGTAAGACCTCGATAATCCTCAGCCCGCCAAAATCTCGACTCTTGATGTTCATATAGCGGGATATGACACCTGCTATTAAGGAAATGTGCCAGTGTTTTCATTCTATCGGTGTATTAATTTTTAATCAAAAACCCCTTCTGCAACGTTTGCGGGAATACAGGACTCGAGTTCCTCCTTCACGGATTAATAAAATCTCAGTGTATTCATGAAGTGAACAGGAAATTTTCTTGGTTGAGAGAAAAAACTTGATCTTTTTCTTTAGCTTTACTGTTATTGTTTTCCGTTACTTTTTAGCAGTGTTTAATAAAAATTATGACATTCTAGTTGAGTCTTAGAAAAAAACAACTCTTGATTATTTTCCTTTACATATAATTTCCTTCTTGATATTTTTTGATTTATTCTTAAAAATTAGTAGGGAATTTTATATTTAGCACAGTTGTAGAAACATAGTTTAACCACACTGAAAAAAAGAAACGGCGTGGCATCCCTGTTAACTGACAGTAACTGTCAAATCATTTAAATCTTTAAAGTCCATGTTTGTGGTGGGGACAGAGCGAACGCTATTATCACGCCTGGGTACTTAATGCTTATTGCTTATCTAATTGTGAAATTAGTGAGTTATTCTATTATTGCAGTGGAAACTGTGCTGATGTTCAGTGGAAAAGACTAACGTGTACCAATCTACGAATTAGAGTATTTCCGAAAGTAATTAGGTACAAGGGTGCCTTATTTGGGCTGTTGAGTCAAATTCAATACATGATGCACTCATAAATATTTAGTCTAATACATAGTGCATATGCAATTGATGAGCATGACATTTGAACTGTGTAGAATTATCATGAAATTTACATAAAGTGTTCTGTCTTCCCCAGTTAATATTTACATTTTTATAAACAACAGTGTTGGCTACCTACATACACGTTTGCTTTTCCGTTGACGAACATGTCGTTCACGAATATTGATGAGAGAATATTCAGGCAAACAAGACTGGCAGTAGCAAGGAACCTATTCGATGTCGAAGTGCCTCACCGGATAGCAAGCTACGATCGGTTCATACCGTATCGAGCCAACAACAGTTGGGAAACTAGTTTTGCAAATATTTCTGAAGTAAATAAGGCCCCTCACGTCGGTAGAAAGCCGAGGGAAAATGGTGAGAACGCCAGAGACGGTTCAGTGTACAATATTTTGCTTCGAAATGAGTTACTTGGTGAGAACATTGAAGACATTAAATCACAGGGTGATGAACGACAAGCTCTGACTCCAGTGAAAAGTAGGAACCTATTCAAATATGGAACCCCCTCCAAGGTGAGTGAATGATATAACCTCTGTATTGATGTAATGTATTTATTTACTAACTGTAATTTGCCGTCAGTGGGATGAGGGAGATCCAGATTCTGCATTTATATTTACATCTCACTGTTTGCTACTAAATGGTATAGCACATGTTGAACGGACAATTCTTGATTATTTGAATTCAGTCTAATCATCTTTGTTTGTTATATAATAGTTAATTTTGGAAAACGTACCAGTGAGGTATCAGCCATTTCATGAGTTAGTAGTTTCCAGTTGAAATTGCTCAAAATATTGTATTCTTTTTCATGAAAAAGCAGAGATACCTAAAGGAATTTGTTAACACAAAGTTTCTATTTTGAAGTTTTAAAAAAAATATCAACCTTTGAACTTGAAAATCAAATGGAATAATTTTGAAATTTCTTCCTTTCAAGTGTTGTAATTTTGTTTGTTATTAATTGTATTACTAGTAAAGTTTTCAGAATACACCTAAGTACTGAAAATTTCATTCTGGACATTTGAAAATGAAATAATATTAACTATTCTAGGAATACAGTGACTTATTTCCACAAAGATTGGTTGACTATCAGGATCAGAATGTTTTCTTGCCAACGTTTTGAATTTAATTTAATTCTTCTTCAGGGTTCTGTAACAATGAGTTTTATAACATACCTCTTAACATAACTATCACAAAATCTTAATAAAATTACTCATTGAGAAGGAATTTTTCATTTTGAAAATACAGTTTAATAAAAAACATTAGACATATTGGATACATAATAAAAATTTAAAAAATACCAGGGAAATATTCCAGACCAACAACCAACACTACACAAATAACATTAAACAGAAGAAGGGCTTCATCTTTTTTTTTTTGATAAAGTGATACCTGTTTTTATTGATGTAAGAACGAGTGAGGAAAGAAAAAAGGAATAACATTGGTATTTTACTGATTAAGTATGCAATATTAAAGCTATTGTGAAAGCTATTTTCTGCTAGTGACATCCCTTTTAGTGTTGAAACTATCATTTTTGAGTTTAAAATAAAAAATGTGTCAATGCTTTCTTTCATCTTCAACAACAGCTATGGGGTTCTTGTTATTTAGTTTCTTAGAATCTCTCATGTCTTCTAAAACTCGTGTGTTGAGATAATGTCCGGTTGGGGGAACATAACATTTGGAACAGTTTCTACAGCTCAATTTGTCTAGATTTGCTGACATTTTTAAAACAAAGTAAATTTTCAACAAGAGAAACCTTTTTCTTAATACATAATTTTATTAAAAATGTATTATTACTTGAAACGACAACAGTTATGAAGTTTGTGGGAGGTATATTATGAAAACTACAGAGCCTTGAAGAATAATTTGATTAAATTCGAATCGTTGGTAAAAAAACTGTTTTTCAAAAATAATTGATCCTGTCTTTCAACCAACATATCTACCAAATGACATATCTTGAAAAATCTATAACTCTGTCAAAAACACTACTTTGAAATATCACAGAAAGTAATATTTTGATAAATCTGTTTTTCCGTTAACCAGCTTTCTCCCCCCCCCCCCCGACAACTCTCAAAATTCGAAACTTAGCTTTCAACGTTTGATTTCTAGCAAGATAACTTGGAATGGAAATGTGGTAGAACCTACAATTTTGATTTTTTTTACAATTTAAAAAAAATTATGAAATATATTGCAGTATTGAGGATTTATTTTCATTCCTGGTATAGAAATTAACTGTTTGCAAATTCCTGTACACCTCTTCTCAGATATTTTTAGAACATGAATTGTACATTTGAGAATATTTTATCTTCCTGTGATATATTATTAGCCGCGACAGTGGCGTGCGAATGTATCTGATTTTGTTGAGAAATTTTCTCACTTAAATTTATAAAATTCTCAAATTTTGTTTCAAATATCGATAGTCTGACGATCAATCTGTCAGATCTTTTTCATATTGTGAATTTTGAATGAGTAGAAAAACTATTTTTTTCCAAATTGTTGAATTTTCAAGGTAAGTAAATGATAAAAACAATTTTTGTGACAAACTAGCTTTTAATTAATGAAACGGAAATTACATTAGATATTACTTCAAATTGTTACCATCATTAGAATGTTTACTATGATCCCCCAAATTTCAACCCCTTATCAAGTTCCAAACCCTTCTCAATTTTCATCCCCTCTGACAATCTACGATGGTTTGCCTTATCAAAGAATAATTAGCAAAACATACAGAGTTGACTAAGAGTGTTCCATGATATATTTCATTCCAAAATTATTAAACTTTCAATTTTCTACCATTTTCCTCGCTTCCAATCCCGCAAACATTGAATGGTTTGTTCGATTGAAGAATTAATTATTGCTTAAAGTAAGCTTTCTAACCATACCCAACACGCACGTTCATATTTGATATTCACCCTTATTTACCCTGTATTTTGTGAACTGTACATTACCGGACCTACATTTCTATGAACTTTTTTTTCATAAAATTAGCTCCTGAATACTCCTTATATTTTTTCATCGCAATTGGGAATCACCCTGTATACTGTCGTAATTAATTTCATTAATTGATGTGTGGATCATACAAAGAAATAATTTTCAGACACAAACTGTGAGAAAAAAGCCCTCTCTTTAAAATATTCCCATATTTTTTTTTATAAAGATGGAGAAGTAGAAAACCAAAACCTTTCTTTGCCAAAAATCAATCTCCCCTGAAAATATATTCTTCATTTCTATTTGAATTGGGAACTTCAGAAAAAGGAAGAAAAAATATAAACGTGAATAAAGAGTATCTCTGAAACAGATGAAGAAAAAATTAAGAAATTACAGTACGTTCCTCAAATTGTAGTCGTTGCTTCTTTACATATTGTATCCAAGTAACCGTGTTAGGAATCACACGTTAAAAGGTAAGACCCCGTTAATCCTTAGCTCGCACAAGTTTCGACTTCTGAGGGTTGTCGTTCGTAGGGGTGCGACAACTGGTTAACGGAAAAACAGAAAACAGAACAGATAGAACCAATTTTTTAATCCTGCTTGAATGGTTTACATTATATTTCATATATAATTAAATCATAATTAAATCACACTCCTCTTAAACATAAAATTCCTTCAGATCGGCAATAGAGGACTAAAAAGTATTTTCATTCATTCAATTATTAGGGAAGATATCCTACACTATCAGATCCTCAATGCCAACATTTACAACATCATGCATATCAAAAACCAGTCAGTACAACGAACTTTTAAATTATTGTTGTTAAATTTCTAATGTGGGACGTCTTCGGAAGGTCAGAATATTGAATGTGGTGAGTCTACGTATATCACTTTTTAATAAAAACGGCACAAAAATCTCATAGTGAGATGAGTGGGTACGTCTGGACTATTCTTTTCTTATAGATACTTTCAGTTTCGTCACTTACTGAGAACCATTGAATTACTAATACCGTACGGCGACATTTAAAATATGAGAAGTTATTGCGAAATTTTTTCTTTGCAATTACTTCCTGTTTGTTCTCCTTTCTAGAAAGACATTAAATATCGCCAAATGAAATGAAAACTAAGTAAACAGGCAAAAGTATTTTACTTCACAAAAAATAAACGTTCACTAATGAAAATTAATAAACGTTTACTAATGAAAATTTATCTTTCTAATTATTAAAAAAAATCTTTTCTAGATACTTAAAACGTATTTTAAATTTTCTGTTTAACCAGACTAGATGTGTCACCAATAGAATATGGAACTCTCGGCCTAACAAGGCCGACCAAATGGGAGTTCCATATTCGTGTTAGGAATCACATGTTGAAAGGTAAGACCTCGTTAATCCTTAGCTCGCACAAGTTTCGACTTCTGATGGTTGTCGTTCGTAGGGGTGCGACAGCTGGTTAACGGAATAACAGATTTTAAACAGATTTTTTTTTCAACTTAGAATAATAATTTATTTTTATCTGGATGATAATTAATGTGTATGAGGTGCCAAATTGGCAAACTCAAAAAAAGAAATATAAGAATTATGTTAATTTCTGTTAATATTTTTCCATCAAATCTTCATAATAATCCAGAAGCTGGTTGGTTATATATTTTCCATATTGAGTTATTTTCAATCTACCTAAGGGAAAATTTAAATGTTTCTTTATTCTAGTGTTACGTTGAAAAAAAATGTCGTTGATCTGTTCAAGGAAACAATGTATACATACATAGTTTCAAAAATATATACATATGTTGAAGTTAATATACCATACTTACTCTTTAAAAAGGGCCTTACATGATTTAAACAATTCTCTATGTACAACAAAATACTAAAATACGTTCATTATAGAACGAATAGCATTTCGACTAAAGTAATTTGATGTCTGCCTCATCGTTCTGTGTGGCAAATTTATTTTCTAATATTGTTATGTCTCGTACAGATATAGTTGTTGAAAGTCATTAACATAAATGACATAGTAACTTCCATCAACTTCAGAAGAAGTGATATTTACATGAGATATGAACGGTAGGGGACTCAGTATTGAATCCTGTGGTATACATATATTCAGCTCTTGGGAACATAGATTATATGAAAATATATACGTATGCAATACAATATTTATGAACCAGTAGCAAACCAGTATGTAGTTCTTTCAATTGAATAAGACTCTACATACCACTTTGACCGTTTTATCCAGGATCCTCTTCATGAAAGGAATATCTGTATTCCACGAACAAACAAAAACTTGTTTTTTATTACGGAAATATATTACTTATTCACCTAATAATCAGTCATCACTGATTACGGTTTATCTTCTAAAATGAATTCGAATAATTACGCCAACCCAAATATTCAAATAAACTATTCTCTCATTCGTTTCCCACCTTCTTGCATTCTCCAAAACTTCCTGTCGCTGCCGATGTAACCCAACCGAAAACATCCCAATAAAGGCTACGTCTTTGATTCACTCTGTATTACATAAGCCGTGTGTTTGGGCGTCATCAGCTGATGATCCGTTTTTGAAATGGTGTCGTTGATCGCTCGTTTTTCGGAGC